GTGGGAGAGGGAGAAGCAGGCTGCCTCCTGAGCAGGGAGGCCGATGTGGGGCTAGATCCTGGGACTCTGGGATCATGATCTGAGCCGAAGGCAGACGCTTAACGACTGAGCGACCCAGGTGCCCCAGATCATTTGACTCTTGATCTTGGGGCTGTGAGTTCAAGCCCCACGTTGGGTACAGGATTACTTAAATATATTTTTAAGAGAAAGAAAATATACAAATGGGGGCACCTGGGTGGCTCAGTCGTTAAGTGTCTGCCTTCAGCTCAGGTCATGATCCCAGGGTTCTGGGATCGAGTCCCACATCGGGCTCCCTGCTCAGCAGGAAGCCTGCTTCTCCCTCTCCCACTCCCCCTGCTTGTGTTCCCTCGCTCGCTGTGTCTCTGTCAAATAAATAAATAAATAAAATCTTTAAAAAAAAAAAGTATGTAGTGATTCACTTAAATATTTTATATTTATGTTATATATTTTATATGAATATATAATTTCAGAAATACATTTTATATAAGTATTTTTAATTTTACTTAAACATCAGAGTTCCTCAAATTTTGTGGATAAGTGAATTCGTTTTGCAGTTATCCTTGTTTTTTTTTTCATCTTCCCTGTCAGATGGATAGTGGCTATAACACACATAATTGTGGAAGCAATATTATGGATACGGTTGGAGCAGATAGTGATGCACAAACCTTGGAAGTTGAGAATAAATCTCAAATTTTTAATACAAAGGTATGGAAAAAACAGAGAAGGCTTGATATGGTTGTCTAAGTATTTATTTAATATGACTTTTTTCATGGGCACCTGGATGGCTCAGTTGGTGGAGCATGTGACTTGATCTCAGGGTTGTGAGTTCGAGCCCCACCTTGGGTGTAAAGATTACTTAAAAATAAAATCTTTAAAAATTTTTTTTTCCCCAGTATTTTTTCCACCCATTTTGCTTAAAATTTTAATTAAAATTAAATAATTAAAATTTTAATTATGTTTATGCCTCATCCTATTTTCAGTTAACAGCAGATGGTGGTTTTTAAATCAAAACACTTCATTTTCCTAAATAATTCTTTGGCTATGGGACAGGTTAAGAGTCTGGAGAGGGAGAGCTAGTCCTACTTTGGAATAGGCACCTGAACTCCTTTTCTTACAACTAAAGGGGAATAGGAATAGGGGTGCCAAGACCGTTTTTTTTTTTGCCTCTAACATTGTTTCAAAGTTAAAATTAAAGAATTTTAATTATTAGGAAAATGATACAACTGAGAGACCACACATCAAAGTAAGAACTCTCAAAGGTAAGGGCTCTTTTCTTAAAATCCAAAAGCCTTTCAAGACTATGAATAACATACCTTACCTACTAAGTATTTGTACAGAGGTATACTTTTGACTAGGACATTTACTGTACCTTCTAGGTAGGATGGTTATAACTATATATGCATATTTGAGGAAAACCGGTCATAATTTTAGGAGAATCTTTGATTTTTATATGCCAATTTGTTTATAAACACAATAAACAGCAGCAAGTGTACAACTGAATAGAACTCTCTCCAGGTGAATATTAAGATATAATATGAAGGCCACCTTAATTTCCTTTTCCTCCATTTTGTTGAGGTGGGATTATAGTTCATTTAAAAGTAAGCAAGCATTAGGGTATAGGAAAAGGACTTTTCGATGCAGAATATTGATTTATAGAAAACCCAACTTTACTGTCCCTTTAGAATTGATAAGGAAATCTGCATTCAGGTTTTAAAACATGGTAGCTGCACCCTTGAATAGTCCTATTCAAGCAGCAACTATTTTCTTTTTTTTCCCCCCACAGGAAGACCGTGTAACACAGAGGTGTTGAATGAAAACAGCAACTCCTCCTCAAAGCAGCAGTCCATAGAATACCTCTCAGAACCAAAGACCATCACTCAGTGGCTCCTCACATAATTTTTTATGCACAGGATCAATACTGTGATTGTGATTGGGAAAAAGTTGCTTCAACTAACATGCTTAGCTTTTTTTCTTTCCCCACTTAATGTGAAAAATCAAGGGCTTAATTTAGTGACATGGCAACAACAGAGAAGCTCCTAGAATTTTCAACTCATCGAAGTACAACTGTATTTTTTATTAATAAATATTTTTGTACTTACCTGGATTGATGTGTTTAACAATAAGTTTGAGAACAAGGACTTTGCTCCTATCCCACAGGGTCAGTGAACTGCCTATTAGTAAACCTTATCAACAGCACTGAATTTAGCAGTTTTAAGAATATGTGGAATTGTGAGGATACTATTTTATTTTACATAAAAACGTGACTATACAGATGAATTTAATTTATAACCTTTGTGAAAGAAATCAATCTTAGATATAAAACATTAAAGAGGTAGGAAGGAGATTAAGCAGGTTTCCAGAATTTTTCATTCTTGATTCGTTCATTTCTGTGTACAAATTCTTAGCTCCAATGGTAACTGTTCTAATTACTACTTTTAAAAATGTAAATACTAGAAAAGTAGTACTAACAGCATCTTAATATCACATATTATTAGTGGGGTGAGCATGGGATGCCCAGGATATATCTCCACCCCTAGGGTAGGGACATCCTTTTCCAGCTCAAATTTGGCTGGGGAGAGGAATAAGCACCTGGGAGAACTAAGAAAAACAGTGGGGACCAGGCGACAGAGTGTCTGTAGGGCTAAATTTAGGCCTTTTATAAAGTTAGGGTTGGGCAGACACAAAACTAGTTTTTTAAAATGTTTATGTTCATGTTGGGAGTAGAAGTGATATATACATTTTTTAGAAATATTCTTTACCTCTAGAGAATGCATATTCATATTTACAAACCACCTTTTAAAAATTATCTCCTTCAAAAGGGAGGAGTAATTCATATGCAGCCCTAGGAAATAATAACATACTATCATTGTGTCATTTTCTTCCTTTTTTTGCACCTTATAACTTTACTGCTAGTCTGTAAAGACCTTTTCTTCCTGTGTACCTGAGTCATCGTCTCCCCCAGCGCACTAACCATTAAAGCTGTTAGTCACTATGTCCACTGCTAAAGACACTCCATTACGAAGTTGAGTCCCTAATCACACAGGCTTTAGGATCAATATAAACTTAAATAACTGCTATGCTCTAAGAGGAATTCTAGTTCCTAAAGGTAGGAGCTTCCCTGGCTATGTCTTTTTGATAGCACAAGTCAAGAAACAAGAAAGTAGTGATTATAGTTTGGATTCAAATCCATCCTGTCACTTACTACTTGATCTGGGCCATAAAACCTTAATCTTCTCATCTAGTAAATGGGTGGGGGTGGAGAGAGTCTTACCCAACAGGGCTTTTTGAGTGTAATAGTCCATGTACGCTGCTTAGCATAAAAACTGGCATTAGAAGCATTTTAGATTACTGAGGACTGAGGCTCTGGGTAAACATAAGGATTCTGGTCATCTTGACCTTGCCTGAATTAGACCTTCCTCATAAATGAGAGCCAAGAAAACAAACATGGAAAGATAGGTTAGCCACTCCCTTGTTGAACCAAGAAACCTCCCTTTCCTCTGTTGCCAGTAAACTCTGGGCTGTCATCAAAGGATTTTTAAATGGTGGGGAGGTAGAAATCAAATGGGTTTTGTGACACATCAAAGTTCTCAAATTTGAATTTTCGTTGGAATGGAGCTATGCTTGCTTCCATCCTGTCTGTGGCTGCTTTCACGCTGTACAAGGAGAGTTGAGTACTACGGTTGTAACTGAGACCGCTGAGTCTAACATGGCTGGTCCTTCACAGAAAAGGCTTGCTGACGCTTGCTCTGGCGTGGTAGCCCGTTACTTGGTCCTAAGACCACTCAAAGTTATCTTCGTTCAACTGAAACAAGTTCTGCCTCAAGATACGGATGTTTTCCTCAGTAGTAGGAAACTGGAACAATCACTTGATCTCTGAGGGCCTAAATGACTGGACACATGGTCATTATTCCCACTCAGTAGACCTGTTTATTTATTTGCTGGTCCTTTCTCACTGGACTGCAAGCTCCTTCAAGGTAGAGATGGTTTACTTGACTCCGTGATGAGCCTGGTACATTGCAAGTACTTTAGAAAATGAATAAACAAAGTAAAATGTTGTAACTATCTCAAAATATTCTTAAAAAACACTTAATAATTATTAATCTTTGTGATGAACAAGGCATACCAAATCATAATATTTACTTCAATCTATTCCCTTTAATATGTCCTTACAGAATCCCCCCTTTCCTACAAAACCTGATACATACACAGTTTAAAAGCCGTTCAAGACCTACTTTTTATAAATAACATGATGCAGACGTTTAAAAAAGTGCCATCTCTATTTGCTCTTTGAGCCCTAATGCCTTATTTTGGGGGAGATGTGAGCTTAAAGGTCAAGGATGATGATGATCATACTTATTATCTGGTAGTAAAAAAAACTTTATAGTCAGCTCAAATATCCTTCTTCTTGCCTTCCTACAACATTCAATTCCCAAAGACAGCTGTTGAAGGACCACTTAATAAAAAATGCAGGAAGCTTTTAACAGGGAACACTTCATACAAATTAGGTAAATTAAAGAGAGCAAAGGACTGAATATTCTTTGACAAATCGATGTCATTGTCTTGAAATCTAAAAACTACCGTATTAAACATGGACAGCTTTCAAGATTTAGAAAAAACACACTGTTCCTGACTTTTAAAAATGTTCTGTTTTCCTCCACAGGAAAATGATAGTTTTTTTCTATCAATATTAAATCATCAAATTACTTGAATTAACTGTTCTTTAGTGAGCAGATGAATGCTCCATTTAAACGGTCTTTACAGATCCCTGAGGTTGCTATCTTGTCACTATTTAAGTGATGGATATTCAATTGAATTTTTATGCATAATTAGTTCAGTTCAATCTAGAAGTACCATGATGGGACAGACACAGTCAACAAACAGGTCAATAAAAATGCAAATTTTTAAAACCGTTACAATGTATTTAAAAGTAACAAACTGTATCACACACTTCCTAGGTTTAAAAGCGTTCTCTCAAGGTTTTTTGTTTTGGGTTTTTTTTTTTTTTTCTCAGTTTTTTTTTAAGGAAACCACTCTTCGAAGTTTTTTTGTTGACTGTAGCTATTTCTCACGTTTCTTCTTCTTTCTCTCTGGTTCATCAATGTCCATGTTTGGATTATCAGCCGAAATGCTTATTCCTGGTATCTAAAGTAATGCAAACGGAAAGATAAGGTGAGTAAAAGCATAAAATAAAGAATAAATCTCATCTTCTCCGTCCCCACTGACACTTTCAAGTTTAAAATGATGTCGAGGGAGAGAAGGGGAAAGGAGGTTAGTAAACGTCTTCCACACAAAGTATACATACTTCACACATAAATAGTGGTTCAAAAATGTAAAAGACACAGTCTCGGGTGGGAAGCATGTCATTTGGGAAGTGTGGTTTAACCAGAACACGCCCAGTTTATCCTAGCTGAGCCACTGTGACAGCATCAGGGGCAGAAGGTTAAGAACTAATATCTTAGGGTGAAACATACTTAATCTTTAAAAGTACAGATTTCAAAACTGATAAAAGTGAAAAGGGACCAGGGAGGAGATCTCAGACAGCTCTCTGCCTTTGGTACTGAGGACCTTTTCCAAAAAATCCCAAATGTCTGGGATCCCACAGCCTAGGGAAATTGGTGAGAAAATAGAATTTGCTATGCAAATATCTGGCTCCCACACTACTTACAAGATTTCTCTATTCTTGAACAGAAATAACTTATATCCTTCTCTTTCACACAATATATACCTTTTTTTAGACCATTACAACATGGACAGTGAAGTTTGGTCTTACCTGTGGTTCTACCAGGGACATTCGGATTTTCTGATGCTGAAGATTGGATGAGTCTAGCATGATTTTCACTTTAACTTTATCAAATATATGAAACACTGTGTCCTCTATTTTAAGGGAAGGTATCTAAACAAAACACATTTTACAATTTTAAACTGCTGTCTTATCTCGAGGTTTCACATTAATTTAAAAGTCTAAGTTTAAAAAATTATTTCCATATTTAATAAGCATCTAGGTGTGCAGTATTACAAAAACCATTTACCTAGTAACTTCACTAATATATGACCTATTTATGTGTATATTTCCCCCGTTCAGTAAGATGGTCCCAATATATATGTTCATTAATCTCAAGATTCTCACCCCATTAATTAGCAAATTGTTGGCCTACCAGAGGAAAAGGTACTGTGGGCAAAGTTTGCTGTTTTGTAGTTCTATTAAAGTTAGGGAAGTAGAGGTTGTGTCAGACAAGAAACATTGGAAAGAGGCTTAAAAAATTCCTCTGAGCTCTAAGCAGCCATTTATTCCTTTACTTTCATGCATCTGTCCAACTGTGCAAAGCATAATTCAAGTTTTCCTTAGAAGAGGAAACTACATGGTGTAAAACAAATCAAGGACAACATCTGTATGTGGGAAGATACACTGAAGTGAGAAATTATGAACAGAATAAGCTTATTAGTCTGTGCAATTAAGTTCTGTAGGATGCAAAAAATAATTTTATCCTTTCTACGTACCATCAAAGAAAAATTACCCCTTCCAAAAAAACCCCAAATAAAATCATTAAAAATACTGTACCTCATCATCATAAATAAGTCTTGGCTTTGGTTTGTCCTTTTCTTCAAAAAAGACGGTACCTTCTAAACCATACTTTGGAATTAACACCACAATAGCATTCTTTCTTACAAATAGAATATAGCCTTCTTCACTTACTATTCCTTTGCTTTTGAAAAACAACTGTAAAATAACATATAGCCTTATCAAGGATTGTCTTAATATTTCTGAAATTAACAAAGTATTTTGAAATTAAACTGAAAGTGAACAAAACGTCATCTCCCCTAACATTACTGACAGAAGGCAAATACCTGGGTATGAAAAGCCACTGATGCACGTTGGGCATACTGAGCCATTTTGTGCCGGAAGTTGAGATTTTTACATAAATCTGCAAGCTTGTGTTTGTCTGTCAACTCTGGATACGTACAGTCAGCCCCAATAGCCACAGCCAACAACCGATGCACAATGATGTCTGCATATCTAGATACATGAAGGACAAATAATCATACTATGTTGGCATTAAAATAGCTTTTTACAATTCAAAATTATTTTCTATCTCCTATCATTTTATAAGGAAAAAATACCTTCTGATGGGTGAAGTAAAATGTGTGTATATGGGCGATGCTAAGCCGTAGTGATGAAAATCATTGTCCATTCCAGAGCAGAAGTACACGGCCTGCATCATACAGCGAGTGGCTAAGATCCTTAAGAGAGTGTTGACATACGGAAAAGTCCGAGAATCTGCCCGGTCCAAAGAGTCAGCCAAGGACTTGGCTGTATCAGTTTTAATTTCCAAATTCTGAGAGTAAAGAAGAAGGAAAGAGCACCCTATTAAATATTTTAAAATCAGTACCATGGTGTCTTCAAAATACAACAAATCAAACAGAACAAATATGGTGTTTTTGACCAGGTAATAAGTATTTACATCTTTTGTCCTTAACCTAGGAGAACTAAAAACAGCTTATAAAAAGTCATGATTGTTTTGTGTAACATCAAAGCTTAATATTTTCTGAATGTGTCTAAAGGTACTGAAGTAACATTCTGAAGTTTCAAAGGGGAAAGGATGGTGGTAGCTGTAGTGCAATTCTCAAAGTCCAATATGTGCTTGCCTGTTCTTTGTTGGGGTACGGGAAAAAAATCAAAGCAGATCTGGGTTCTTTCTAGCATGTGTGGTTTTCCTCTGCAGATATCTTTTTTTTTTTAAAGATTTTATTTATTTATCTGACAGAGAGAGACACAGCTTGAGAGGGAACACAAGCAGGGGGAGTGGGAGAGGGAGAAGCAGGCTTCCCGCTGAGCAGGGAGCCCGATGCGGGGCTCGATCCCAGGACCCTGGGATCATGACCTGAGCCGAAGGCAGACGCTGAACAACTGAGCCACCCAGGCGCCCCCCTCTGCAGGTATTTCTTTACCTTCCATTCAAGGTAGAAGTAAAGGCCAGAGGCAAAATAAAACTCTATTGGTCACTACAGCTCAATATGCTGGTACATCAAACTGCTGTGTTCTATTTTGGGAGTTGAGGCAAATATACCTAGATCCTCCTTGCTCTACCCAGGTCTTAGGAAGAAATAAGATAGTAGGAGAAAATTCCCCAATTTCCAGTGTTAAGCCTTAGAGCAGAGGAGAAGTTGATTCTGTTCTGATGGACAGGGGTAGTAGGCCCACCATAAAGATCTGAAAAATCAGAAACCAACATCATTCTGGTAGAATAATACCCTGAGACCTCACACCACTTCCAGCTCCTCATCTGGACAGGAGAGATGGGACCTGAACGAGGAAAACCAATGTAAGCCACAGTCACCACAAGGGTAAGGGTAATTATGCCTAAATGAGGGGGAGGATATGGTAGCCTTCCTATGTTTTTCCTTTTCCCCAATGTATGCAATAAATGGACTTCTTTCTTAGGGACATGATATAAAGAGGGCTTAACTGAGTTAAAGTTAAAATATTTCTAAGTCTCTGAAGTTAGGCAGTTCAGAGGACGCATGAAAGAACATGTATAAAGGCAAAGAGATGTGGAAGAGCTTCATATGTTTAGGATACTGCAAATACCTTAGTGTGGAACTTCTGGTTGTAGCACAGGGTGCTCTCCAAAGACATTAAAGGATTTTATTCAGCAAATGATTTCAATGACTGTATCCAAGTTGATTTTTTTTTCTTAATCAAAAGTACTACTAGCATATTTTTGCATCAAAATACAACAGAAACTTTCATGCAGATGCAAATATAGATTGTTTAGTACAGTGGACAGATCACAACTCAAATACAGATGATTTTGCAAACTATGCGACCTTACCTTGGATTTAGCTGCCTTAACCAGAATTTCGTAATTTGACGGAGGGGGAGCTGGGTGTTTTCGAAGCAAGGCATGTTCTGAAAATTCTTCATGAATTTTTTTTGCAACAGAGATATTCGCCAGTAACATAAATTCTTCCACCATAGAATTTGTTTCCCTGCCAAGGGAGAAATCATTAAATAAGGAAAAAGATTCTGAGACTCTTCTAGATCACATTTATTCCCAGGCTACCTTTGCTACCAACGAAACAATAAAAGTATTTCCTACGTAAACATCTGTATGCGTGTGCGCACACGTATATTTTTCATAACCTAACACTCTTTCATTTCTCAGCTGCTATGCTGACAATCTCTCACTATGCATCTACTGCATGAGTAAATCTCATGCGAAAGACTTTTAAATTGCATTTAAATAATAGAACCTTTACTAACTCTAATAATATATAAAATCTAAACCAAAAGAATTTTTACCTTCTTTTATTAAATCTAAAGAGATTTTTACTTAACTATAAATCCATAAAAATAAAAATCCATAAAAATAATATCCATAAAAAAATAAATCCATAAAAATAAATCCAAAAAAAACCCCACAAAATCACATTTACTTCTCTTCATTTATAAGAATGAAAAGCTATTTAGGTCATACAAATTTGGGCTTAAAAAATTAAAATTTTCACCAATAAATCACCAAAATGAAGAAATTATATTTGCAATAGCTATTCTAGGTATTTATTATTGGCCTGGCATTGCACTATGCTGTAAAATATTGATCTATCTGTATCCATATAGAGAAAGATGTATGTTAGTCCTGTTTTGCAGATGAGAAAACTAAGAATGTGTAACATTATTCTCTTGCTCAAAGTTGGAGTTAGTAATAACAAGACCCAAGCCCACATAATTGACTTCAAAACTCTTAACCAATTTGATATTGCTCTTTATTCTCTATAGTCTATGTCTATTTAAAACTTAGGTTAGTCAATGATCTGTATTCTGTTGTAAATTGTACTTTCTTTTTCCCAAGTCACTGAATGGGCATTATATTAATCTTTAATTCAAGTTTCATTCATCTTATAAACTTCTTGACTAGATTCCTAAAGTACATTAATTTTTTAAATATTAGGAAGACCTCCAATCATACCTTTAAGACTAAAGACAATCTCTTAGAAATGTGTTGTCTTCTTCTTGGTAAGAAGGGGCAATGTTCTACTTTGACAAAGTCAGATTCGACATTTTCCTCAAAAAACCTCTTCGTATTAGGCTCACTGTTCACATTAACATTAGTTTTATTTATATAAAAGTTCTCCCAAAAGTATTTTTTAATTTTAGCTCTAATAGCTCTATTACAAAGCACACACTGGTCCTAACTAAGAAATTTGAGTATATTCTCATTTTTAACCCTTGGTCATCTACTAAGAAAAGTGTAAATGCACATTCATTTTAGAATTACCTTATAAAAGGCATGGAAAAGAGGCCCAACTGATTTAACCAAAAACAGCCCTGCTTCCTAATCTCAACCAAATCAATACAGTGGTACAACAATAACTCATCTGAGCACTCCTCACAACACCCAGTGACGTAGGTACCATTATCAGTCCTATTTTACCAACAAACAAACTGAGGTGTAAAAAAGTCAAATTACTTGTCTGGAGTTATTGGAAATGGGATCCAAACCAAGGCAGTCTGGCTTTAAAGCACAAGGTCTTGTACATATTTGTACACTACGCTCTTCTACATTAAATACTTAAGAAATTAACCAGGGCAATCTCTTACTTACCACAACTATTACTAGTCAAGTTCTAATACACCACACATCAAGACCAATTCAAATTGGAAATTATAACACTTCTCAGTTTTATATTAGAAAAACTAAAAAACAAAATCGCATTTACTTCTCTCTGTATATCCTAACTCAAAAAGATCTACAGACACCATAACCCTATTAGAAATAGGTATTTGGGGTAGAAATATGTTTTGTTTATTAATATATATACTGGATATTACATTTAAAATAAAAATCCTATCTACAGCCCAGCAAAAATTTACATACCTAAGTTCTTTGGTCTGCAGATCTATAGGATCATGAGTTTCACTGTCCATGTGGAATCGAACTTCTGGAGAAGAAAGAGTCAAAGCCCTAAATAAAAATTAAAGATGTAAATTTAGTGAAGTGAGCGAATAACAGATATCATTCTGGAAGTGATGCTTTTAAAAGAAAAAATGATGATAGCAAGTGAGTAATAGTTTTTCTTCTGAAGGCTTTAAGACCATCTGCTAAGTTTTATGTTCCATTTTCATTGACAGCTTTGCATCTTACACATCTAAAATGCATTTAAAAAGAGAGGACAACAGGGGTGCCTGGGCGGCTCAGTCAATTAAGTGTCTGCCTTCAGCTCAGGTCATGATCCCACGGTCCTGGGATTGAGTCTTGCATCAGGCTCCCTGTTTAGCGGGGAGCATGCTTCTCCTTCTCCCTCTGCCTCTCCCCTCCGCTCGTGCTCTCTCTCTCTCAAATAAGTAAAATCTTTAAAAAAAAGAAAAGGGGGGGACAACAGGTGTTAATACAACAAAATATGAGTCCTTGTGCTTCTGAGAATTTGAGTATGCTCTGTACCCAAACTGAGTTTTTACTGAACTACATGGGTTTGTAATCACTTTTATAAATAAAGAAGGTAACTTGGCAGAATTTTATTTATTACAGAAAACAATGTATTGGGGTGAGGGATGATGGAGAGAGAGGCAAAAGGGAAGCTGCCACACATAGGTAAGTACCATCAGAAGATCCACAGTTCAAAGGTACGTCCACATTCGCTGAGCCAGCGAAGAGACTGATAAACTACTACCCTGGTATGTACACACACTGAGGCTACTGATATGGAGTGCTACGTGTCAGATAACATACTAGACTAAGTGCTTTACAGGAATGGTTCACTTAATGAGTTCCCAAGTTCTCCTGTGAAAAGTAAATTCCAACAAGGCGAGTCTTAGGTTTCTTCACACCTCCATGCTATTTTCATCAGGTTAGCTTCAAACCAACTTAAAGAATTTTAATGAAGTTGGGTAACCCTAAACAATCATGGAGAAGGGGGGAAAGTGGAGAAAAAAAAGATGAGATGGTGCAAGCTAATTCTTCAACTTTTCCCTCAATTCTTCAGCTCTATTAGAACTACCAAAGGAATACTAAACAGAGAATCTTGACAAATATTCCTTTCTTGCCATGCAGTCTTTACAAGATTCTACACTAGATTTAGTCTGTTTGTCAATACATCTGACCTAAAAAGCAAGGTATAGTAATCACATTTTGATTTTTTTCTTCATAAAACACTTAAAAGGTTATGTCTATCCATGACATAACATTTATCCTTTAAGATAGACATAAAATAAATGTAAAACAGAACATATCCTTTAAGAAAGTAAAAAATACCAATTTTTCGACTGATTGTTTTCTCAATTTTCACCTACGGCTGAGAAGACTCAATGACCTGTCTTTACCAGTACACGACTATCTAGTTACAAAATTAAAAGTAGAGACAGTTTTTGAAGTTAAAAATTATCTTTCCCTTACTAATCAGGAGAGGCTAGTTACTAATGCAAATTTCTCTTTTACCATTTAAAACTACCAAAATAAAAATGTTTTCAATTTGCATTTTATTCATGTTTGCTTTTAAAACAAACTTTCTAAAAATATCTTCCACAAACTTTCTTCTGATGTCTTGCATACTGTAAACCTTTGATGAACAAACACTTGCTGAAAAATGTGTTGTTTTGTGTCCTCTTTAGTTTCTTTGGGTTTAACGCATCCAAATTATCCTTACACAGCTGCAAGTTTTATATTTAGGATCACATTGAATATTCCCAGAAAACTGACCTGTGAGTAGAGATAAAGATGGCTCAGCGTAACTACCTGGAAGAACGCGGTCCAGTGGAACTTTCTGCAGTGATGGAAATGTTCTCTATCTCTACGCTGTCCGATATGGTAGTCACTAGCCGTAAGTGGCTACTGAGCATTTGAAATGTGGCTAGTGAGACTCAGGAACTAAATTCTTTTTTTCTTTCATTTTAATGAATTTTAATTTAAATAGACAATAGGCACATCTTCTCAAAGAGCACAGATCTAGAGTTTGTACTCCCCAACAAAAGCACTTTTAGTAACCACCTGTGACCCTACCCTGGATGGACATGGGAACCCAAGACCAACATCTGAAAGGTTCATGTACTTGCTTTGCTCTGATAGTTGACAATGTCTTTTAAAAATCAAATTTCTTTTAACTACTTTACTTCAACAAGTTTGGAGACTTGGATATTCCTTATCTTCTACTATTGTAGCCAGGCAAACCCCATGATATCATAGCTAAAAGACACCCATCGCTACTAGCTGTCAGATATCAGACCTTTGGGAGAACTGCTTCTGTGTAACTTTGAATCATTTAAAAAATGAAGGTGTCTAAAATCGCTTCAAACTCTCAAGTGGAAGAAGAAGTTCATCTACATTTATTAAATGTCTGAAAACCAATGTTCAATATTCTAACTAAAATTAGAAACAATCCATAGAAGTCTTAAGGAGCTCTTGCTTCCCTTGAAATTTTCTCTAAGATCTTTAACTCCTTAGCATAATAAATTACATAGACAGAGCTAGAAGAAAAAGAATGTCTCTGCCTGCCTTTCTACTCAGCTCATTAAATAATCTGTCATTGTCCAGGATAAAACACTTTGAAGAGTTCACAGGTTATCTTATTACCACAATAAAGACACTTCTTAATAAATATTTTTGAAATATACCCTTTTTCGATTCTTCTTTTTTTCAAAATTTTAGCTAGTTTATTTAGTCCACGGAGACTAGTGGTAATATCATCATTCATGGCTGCAGAATCAATTCTCATCTGAGCTTCAGCATATGTAAGGGAAGCCTAAAAGGAAAACCGTTTGTTAATATAATTCTTATAAAAACTGGTTTATAGGGCACCTGGGTGGCTCAGTCGGTTAAGTGGCCCACTCTTGATTTTGGCTCAGGTCATTATCTTAGGGTTGTAAGCTCAAGCCCTACATGGGACTCCATGCTAGGTGTGGAGCCTACCTAAGATTCTCTCTTTCCTTCTCTCTTTGTCCCTCCCTGCCCCCCACTCTTACACTCTTTAAAAAAAAATTAAAAATTTAAAAAAATTCTAAAAAAAAGTAAAAAAAAAACTGGTTTAGTGTAATTTCATATTTGCACTACATAAAATCCATGATTTCGGAAAACCTAAAATCAATAAGAAGAGAGAGAGTCCTAGCTATAATATTTATACTGCGGACCTATGGTTTTTGGTTCATTAATTTGTATCTGATGCATTACACAACATAAGCAAACTTACGTTAAAACAAAACAAAATGGGGGTGCCTGGGTGGCTCAGTCTGTTGGGCATCTAACTCTTGGTTTGGGCTCAGATTATGATCTCAGGGTCATGGGATCCGGCTCTGTACTCAGCAGGGAGTCTGCTTGGAATTCTCTCTCTCCATCTCCCTCTGCTTCTACTCCCCACCCCACACTCTCCCTCTAAAAATAAATGAATCTTTTAAAACAAACAAAATGGTAGCATTTGTTGGTAAACAAATTGCTTAAACTTTACTTTCATAGTTAACAAATAAATACTTAGGTAACACTAAAATAAAAAGGAAAGTTACATTATTCTCTGACAATGACTGTAAAGTGAAATCCTCTCCAGATGATCATTACTTCCTTACTCAATGGCAAATAATTAAGAATACTCTAATAGCCTAGACATCATGTTTTACAGAAAAGCCTATGAAATATCCCAAATTAAGTATCTAAAAATGTGACCAATAACAGTAAAAAAGATCCCAAGTAATTTCCAATTATAATCCAAATATACAAATAGTGCTTCTGTTTCTATTTCACACCTTATGGAAAACTACCATTTTTTAGCTTATCAAAAAAAAAAAAAAGTAGGGGCGCCTATGTGGTATAGCTGGTTAAGCGTCAGGTTTTGGCTCAGGTCATGATCTCCGGGTTGTGAGCTCAAGCCCCACGTCCAACTCCGTGCTCAGCACCGAGTGTGCTTGAGACTCTCTCTCCCTCTGCCCTCCCCCTTGCACTCTCTATCTGAAATAAATCAATAAATCTTAAAAAAAAAAAAAAAAAAAGTAGCTTCCCAAGTAAAAATCAGGAATAGCATAAGAGGGTTAGATGATGCAGGAGGCCAGGTCAGATTCTTAGGAGAGCCAAGTTATCTACTAGGAACTAAGAGGTCCCCTTCTAAAAATGTTTTCTGTTGTATGTGCACTGAACTTCTTTTCATATAACTTTGTTACACTGACCAAGTCTGGGAGAAAAATAAACTCATCATTTTTAAAAATACAAATCGAGGAAGGCTTAAATCATTCATACATCACTATTTGTCAGTCCAACACTGCTTTCCTTTCCAACCACTAGTTCATCCAAAACTGTTGAAAGCAACTAGATGATGGCAAACCTCTGAGAAAGACCAAGGGCAAAGTGAGAACATAACGGAATCTGGGCAGATTTCCAAAAAAGAGAAGGATGAGAATGTTAGCCTGGTTCCATTCTCTCTGACCTGAGACCTCAGGCTAGTTTTGCTGAAATCCAAGGAAACCTTATGACATCATTTCCCTGAAAATTTGTGAGTATCACAAGATGGTATACATGCCAACTTTGAAAATACCAGTTTATACATTGGAATAATTTCAAATAGTAGTGTCCCTGAATTAGGGCAAAAAGTCATCTATTTAGTCTTCTCAAGTATCCAGGCTTTGTGAGTTCCTGAATACAAGGCAACCGCATCAAAAATTAAGCAGATAACTGGAAAAAACTAGATCTTGCTACAACATTTGGGAAAAATTTAATTTAGTAAACCTGACTTTTTCAAAACCATCTAGTAACACTGTTAAAAGTACCAAAGATTTTAAACATTTAATATTAACCATGAAACCAACCTTTGAATTAATGGCACTTTTGGTAAACCTCACTTTTAAGATTTCAGCATTGTGATTCATTTCCCAAATACATGAAAATGCCAACCTATGGGGGAAAGTAGACAGTGTTTGTTAATGGGAGTCCGTTAAAATAGTAGATACTATGTTCTTATGAAAAAACACGCATAAATACCTGTCAACATTACATCTTAATGAACATAAATTAGAGCTAAGCAACTCTGGAACCATGTCAATCCTCTGGAACAGAAAAAAATAGAGTGGCAGATTACTTAACCATATCCATACATTTATTTGACGTTTCGTTCTCAGTAGCATTAATTTAACGAGGGGGAAAAAGGTCTTTGTGAACAGAACTGAGAAAATAAGAAACAGGTCTATTTCTAGAAAAGTATTTCCACACAACTGTCACAAACAAGACACAACGAGAGGAAACCAGACTTCATGTCAGTGAGTCTAAGTGTGCATTCTCTCCACAGCCACCAAGCTGTCCTCCAAGTCTGCAATCTCTGCCCTATATAATAAGTTTGTACTAGATAACAGACATAAGCTTTAACAGTGCTACGACTGGATCCTTCTGTAATGCCTAACGCAAACTACATGGTGTTTTAAACATACTGAAAAAGAGAGCCACAAAACTTTTACAGAAAAAAGCTACATGGAAGAACACTGACAGTGTAGACTAAGTTTAACACTCCCTCCTATTCTCACAACTTTTCTCTGTAAGTTAATGGAAGATTACTTTAAAAAGAAGAAATGGTAAATGATGACAAAACAGACTCATGACTAAACTTTTGAAGCAACAGTAAGTACCCTAGTTACCCAGAGCTAGGAAGTTAAATGCTACACAACAATTTATATCAACCAAGTCTACTTGTTATTTGGGCCACTTAATAACCACACACTGCATTATTTTCACAGATTTATGACCACCTTCTTCTATGTTGGTCTTTTATAGCTAATTCATGTACTATTCCAGACTATTCAAGAATGCAAAAGTGCCCGTGGTTTTTACAATCTAACAATGAAAAATTCACATAAGAGTTATTCCTCATATTTCACCTCAATACTGAGGCTGGAAACACCTTTCTCAGGAAACACCTCAGACGATTTTATTATTAAAAATAAAATGGACGGGGCGCCTGGGTGGCTCAGATGGTTAAGCGTCTGCCTTTGGCTCAGGTCATGATCCCAGGGTCCTGGGATCGAGCCCTGCATCGGGCTCCCTGCTTGGCAGCGAGCCTGCTTCTCCCTCTCCTTCTACGGTTACCCTGCTTGTGCTCTCTTGCTCTGTCAAATAAATAAATAAAATCTTTAAAATAAATAAATAATAAATAAATAAATAAATAAAATGGATGAGGAAAAGTTACAAGCATGTGTCAAAATTCCATTTTAAATTTGACCCATGTACCTTTTCACAAAGATACACAGTTGTTCCCCTTCTGGCTGACTCTTGATCCAAAGCATTTCCTGGCCTAATAAAATGGCTAACATCTGCAATGTGAACACCAACCTGAAAAAGATAAAAATAAGAGGATGTCAACATGTTTAACTGGGTAAAGGTACTAATGGAGTTCTAATGAGAAGAAACGGAGCAAAACTGAAAAAGGATGGCCACATTTCCCATTTCAATTTCTGACACACACGCCCATTAGTCTCTGTAGTTGCAAGTGGCTAGGCATGAATAATTCACAAATTCTATAATGGGTCCAAAGAAAATAAACTCAAAAGCAGAACTATATATTTGGATATGAACATCACTACAACAAGAATACCTCCACATTTCCATTTTCCAGTTCTCTGCAGTGTAGAGCATCATCTATGTCAGTACATCCTGGAGGGTCCACACTACAAACACACAGATGTCTCAGGTCTTCTCGGTTTTTCATATCCTAGAAAATGCCACATTGTTAAGAAATAAAAAACTATTTTGGTAGTACAAATGAAACACAGCCCTTAGGAAATCAACAATTTCTCTCTTTATACTTTAAAAGGAACTTTGTTTTATTTGTTAATAATAACCACACATTATGATTTGTAACTTGTGGTTTCTTCACCTTTGAATAATTTGACATAAGCTAGTGTTGATTCCCCAGAAAACTGCATCTTTCAGTAAAATAAATGATTTTTGTAATACCTAAGAGATCTGTACCTAACTTAAATGCAGGGGAGGAGAGGACTATGGTTTCTGCTTATCTAATTAATTATTTGTAGGCTCCATGCCCAGTGTCAAGCCCAACCTGGAGCCCAATGTGGGGCTTGAACTCAACCCTGAGATCTGAGCTGAGTTCAAGAGTCGGATGCTGCTTAACTAACTGAGCCACCCAGGCGCCCCAGTTTCTACATACTTAAAAACACATACAGAAACCAAGTCAGCTCAGATATAGTAATTTATAACGTGACTACATTCTTTTCAATTTACCTTTTCAGTAATGCTCCAGGGCATCTTTGGAAGAAAGCTAAGAACAGCCTGTGAAAAAGGCTGATGGGGAACGTCATGCTCAAGCAACAAAACTTCTGTTTCAGTCTCTTTATCTCCAACGTCACCTAAGTTTTTTACAAAGTGTCCCTAAAACCAAAAGGTATTATTAGAAAGGTGAATTTTACAGCTTTTTGTTTGGTATATGTTATTATGACATTAAATTCTTAGACATTTATATATCACTTTGGTATTTCTAAATGTTTCCAACACTTCTTAAAAATGAGTCCATAAAGCTCAAGTGATTTATGATGGAGATTTCCTGAGAGCTCAGTTCTCACATAGCGAAGTGTTGTCTATTTCCTATGACCTTTTAACTTTAAAAATGTTACTTCAAATATAGTGGCTTCAGAATTAGTAGAATCTACTTGGGTTTCAAACACTATTTTTGTAACCACTATCAAAAGTTATTTGTTAGGAAACTTGAGTAAAAATAATCAAATGATTTGCACTGGAATTTCATAAGATTAATTTTCAAATAAGATGTACTACTTATCAGGTAAGTTTGTGAAATATTCCTATACTTCAGTATGAATTTTATTACAAAAGCAGATTTTATTTTCACTAAAAGAAGCAATTTTATATCCAATTCTTAATTTGATATTCTAAAAAAATATAAATCATTCAAGCTTACATTTGGATATCTGGAATTTCTGGGCCAACCATCAATAGCAACAATAATCCTCCGTCCTTCTAATGCAGAAGCCTGTCTGGTTTCTATTCGAATTCTAGGGATTCTCCTATCAGCAGGGGTAAAGAGATGTCTTCTTGACTAAAGAAAATTAGGAGAGAAGATTTTACACACAGACACACAAATCTGAGTTTGGGGGCATGCGGAGGGCTCTAAGTTCTATTTAATGGGTATCATTTTTTATTTACACAGCAACACACTCTCTACTCACCTCTTTAATATCAGACTTGGAAAGCATGCCACAATATGGTCTCCAATTTCTTTTTATTATTCCTACAACTCTACCTGTGGGCTTTAACATTTTTTCATTTATAGCAGTCTTAAGCTGAGATTTAAAAAGAAAAAGAAAAATCTTCAGTTATTTTTCCTCTAAGTATAATGAGACAATTTCTCTTTAAAATCAGAATATGAATGTGGATACTAATACTTCCACGCAGTAAATTATGACATAGTTACAGAATCCTGATGCTTTCAAAATTCTACATCATAATATGCCAAACCAAGCCATGGAAATAGTTCCATTATAATAATACACTACAAAAACAGATAATCAAAAAACAAAGAAAAAATATAACTAAATAAATATGTCAGAACTCAACTGTTCAGTTTTAATATGAGAATTTACACACACACACACACACACACACACACACACATCGGGGAATTAGTAGACTAGGATTTTAGTAGTAGTTTGCCTTAAATAGCCATGTGGCATTTATTAATTCATTAGAAATACTTCTACCTTTAAAAGTTCTTCTTTATCCAAAAAAAAACCCAAATAAAAAGAGTATTTATTAGATATAGCTGAAGGACTTTATGGTATTTCATTTCAACACTCTCCTATGGCTTAAAACTCTACAAGGATAATACTATAGTAAGACTCCAGAGCACAAGGAACAGAATTCTTATAAAAAGGAGAACTACTAATGTTTGAATTCCAACTATTTGTATTGTTCTTATTATCCTAAAATTTGGAAATAAATGGGTCATGGCAGGTAGACTTTAGATCATAAGAAACGACTGATAGCATTCTCTTCATAATAAATATGGTAACAGAGAATTGACCCTTATGTAAGGGCCCCAAAGTACATATATTATGCTGATGGAATTTTAACATTACATAAAAATAATGTATAAAATTTCCAATTTGTATTTACCTAAACCTCACTAATTCAGACAAACCTAATTCAGACAGATCATGTACCTGAACGTCAGAATTCAAGTTTCATACTCAAGTTACAGTCTTTCTATATTTAAACCTGTTTATTGAGCAAAGTGATAATTTAAAAGAAGACTATTTAAATATTTGAGGGAAAATAATCAACTGTGTGTACGAAATGTATTAAACCCAGAGAACCATAATCTCATTCAGTAAGTCTGAAAGCAGGGAAATTTGTTTAATTTGCTCTAAAGCTAAAACACTAATGAATTCTACAAAGCTACACAGACAAAAGATAAACCTGTTTGGTTTCATACAGTGCGTTCTCTCTCCTCTTCTTTTTCCACATCATCTTCATTTTGACCTTCATCGTGTAAAACCACAGAAGATGGTGCCACCCACTGATTCTTGGGAAGAAGTTCTACAGCCACAATATCTTCATGAACAGCTCGGTTTAAATTTTTAAGTCCCTGTAAGATTATCTGTGTAAAACAGCAAATGGCACATGCTCAGATATTTTTAATGGCAATATAATAAGGGGAAGATTACCTAACAGAAGGAAAGATATATTCTGAGTGTGTCTATGTATCTCTATTTCTCCTTTATATTTTTTCTTCTTCTATAGTGTCCCTTTACCCCATCCTCTTAATTTCTCAATATCAAGTAGAGAAAATATGTCAGAAAATACAGGTTGTATTCATGGCTCCACCATAACTCTTACATTAGCACCAAAAAGACCTTGGGAAAACTTCTCTCTAAATCTCAGGGTCCTAATTGGGTAGAATGAAAAAGAGTACCCGCTTTCATAGGCACAGGTGAAGATTAAATGGAATGCAGCATTCAAAGCAGATAGAAGAGTATCTGGCAAATAGTGAGCACCCAAAAATGATTCCTATTTGCTTTAAAGTGTGTGAAGCCCAGTGGAGCACTTATATGTTATGTAAATAGCACTTTCCATAACTAGCTATAATATAGAAAATAGAGGCATCCTATGATTTTGTTTGATTAGATTTTTATTTTCTCAAAAGTGGGGTAAATAAAAAGTTCTTTTCTTCCATAAGCAGCTCTCTAAGAAAGTGATTCATTCTATTATCTATGACCTCTCACATAACTGCCTTTAAGCTGATAAAGTAGAAAGGTAGAGTAAGTTTAAATTCTCCCACAAAATTTTAAACACTTATGAAAGAAAATCATGAACAGAAACTCATGAACAGAAAGTGTTTCACTGTATATGAAATTTATGTACACAACACTTGCCTCTTTATCTTCTTCAGGGTCTCCATGAACCCATACTGTAGCTTCTAAGTAATTTTCCCTGCTTGCTCTAAATGTTCCTTGAAGGTATGTACCAGATTTTATGCCTTGTTGTAGCTTACTTAAAGGAAGATGCTCTGAAAATATTATTCTTCCACTTTCTATTTCATTCTGTGAAATGAGCAAACCACAAGATGTAGTTAGTATGTAAATCTTCCTTACACTCAATAGACAACTATTATTATCACTATCAGGTATTTAAAAAAAAAAATCCACGGGGCACCTGGTTTAACTGTTCAACTCTTGATTTCGGCTCAGGTCATGATCTCAGGGTCCCGGGATCAAGCCCCACATTGGGCTCTGCACTCAGCAGGGAGCCTGCTTGAGATTCTCCCACTCCCTCTCCATCTGTCCCTCCCCACCCCTGCACACACATGCTCTCTCAAATAAATAAATTTAAAAAAAAAAAAACCCAAAAGACAAATCATCGTATGATTGCACTCATGTGGAATTTAAGAAACCAAACAGATGAACATATGGGAAGGGAAGGAAAAATAAAGTAAGATAAAAACAGAGAGGGAGACAAACCGTAAGAGACTCTTCAGTACAGGAAATGAACTGGGGGTTGCTGAAGGGGAGGTGAGTAAGGGGATGAGGTAATTGGGTGATGGGCATTAAGTAGGACACTCGAAGTAATGAGCACTGGGTGCTGTATGCAACTGATGAATCACTAAATTCTACCTCTGAAACTAACAATACAGTATATGTTAATTAAATTGAATTTAAATAAAAAATTTTTTAAAAAAACATCCATGTATGGTACATACAACTCTGTGAGTTTGAGAATATGACACAGTAGGAAAAAACGCTTCCTATTCTTAGGGCAACTTACATAAATATTTCAATTTCATTACATTTCGGCATTTAGCCACAGATACGTCACTAATAAACCCTGCACGACCCCTCTTCCCAACCCAGGCCTCCCAGAATGAAGGTGTGTGGTTAGGGAGGTCAGGTGAACAGGTGGGTAGGTAAGTGAAGGGTATATTGAAGCTTCAATTCCATGAGTAGAATGTGGCTACAGAAAGTACAAGAAAAGCTATTTTTATTTTGGATATATTACATAGTTAAGAATAGAAGATAGAAGTAGGCTAGGGACTGCCTCAGGTCTACCACACCTGCCAGGATTTTTAGAGGCCTCAACATCCAAAATCCTCACTGCTTTGGCTTCTTTAATTGATTGCCTTTTTCATTTCCCACCGTCTTCTACCTTCCAGGGAGATTACTTTAGTCCTTTTTTTCCTTAACCCTCCCATTTCCCTCTCCCTGCCTCAGATGAGGGACTGCAATCTCCATACTGAGACTCAAAAGCAGTCACTTAGAGACCTACTTCATCTTCCTGCCACTGAATCTGCCCACCCACCTGCATCTCTATCAAAACCTCAGCCTTCTTTCCTGCAACAATGAATAGACTGTTTCTCTTTCAGCTGGGCACTACCTACCTACCATCTCCTCTCCTCCATTCAAGACCTTTGTCCTGTAATGACCTTCTCTCTCTCTCTAGAGTCAAATTTCCCACCCACCCCCACTTATTACAACATTCACACCATCATATAAATTTGCCACAACATGACCTATTAAAATAAATAAATATAGTTAATTAATTTTGGGTCTCCTGGCCTGATCCTCTGTTCCGCTTCACACCAACATGCCACAAAAATATTATCTATAATTGCTGTGTGTCTATGTGTTCACCCGCACTCTTTCTGGAATGCACGATAAGCAAGTTTCACTGTCAGTCATCAAAGCTACTGTTATTGAAACCACTAATAACATATTATCTCAGCAACTTCACTGCACCATTCTTGGTCTTATCAAGATTTTTTAAAATGACTTTTCCTTCCCTGAGACACTTTCGCATCCAAATCATCATTCCTTGGGTTTCTGTCCTACTTCACTGGTAGCTCCTCCTTAGGTTCCTCTGCCCATTCTCCTTTTCCTGATCTTTAAATGTTGGAGTGTCCCAAGACTTGGTTATAGGCCCTTTTCTTTATCTATGTTTACTCTTGTGTCATTTCCTCCCACTTAAAACAACAACAAAACCTCTTCATCTCTCTTGTTTTCCAACAATCGCCTCATTTCTCTCTTTTTCCCACCACAGCGTTTGAAGTGTTACCATGCTGTAAATTTTCTCTTCCCATTTTTTTCATCTATTCTATTCAGACTTCTGCCTCCCTACCATCAAAACTACTCTGGATAGTACCCACCCCCTGCAAATGTCATAAGCTAAATCCAACCATCAGTTCCCCTCATTACTTTTGACTTAGCAACATTTGACCCAGATGATCACCCCTTCCTCTTTGAAACATTTTCTGTACTTGGCTTCCAAGAACTTCACACCTGTTTTTCCTTTTAGATCGCATTTGCTGGTTCCCTTCATGTTTCTGACTTCTCCTGAAGTACCCACAGGCTGAGCCTTTGGACCTCTTCTCTTTTCTATCTATATTCATTTCCCTACATCAGGGTTAGGCAAACTAAGGTCCACACACCAAGTCCAACCTGCTGCCTGTATTTGGTAAGTTAAGTTTTACATTCCATTCTCCTTCACTTATCTATTGTTGGTGGTTGCTTTCATGCTACAATAGCAGAGATGAGTACTTGTAATAGAGACCATATAGCCTGCAAAGCTAAAAAAAAAAAAAAAAAGTTTACAATCTGATTCCTTACAAAAAAAAAGTTTGCCTAGGAGAAAACATTTGCAAATCACTTATCTGATAAGGAACTTGTATCCAGAATACAAAAAGAACTCTTATAACTCAATAATAAAAAGACAGCCCAATTAAAAACCAAAGGATTTGAAGAGACATATGCACACATACGCATAAGTTAAAATACATATCTATATATTACATATAACATACACATGGCCAATAAGCTCATGAAAAAATGCTCAATACCATTAGCCATTAGGGAAATGCAAATCAAATCAAAACAACATTGAGATATCACCTGACACTCATTAAAATGATTACAATGAAAAAGACAGACAACATGTATTGGTGAGAAACTGGAACTCTCATACATTGGTGAGGAACTGGGACCCTCATACATCAGTGAGGAACTGGGACCCTCATACCTTGCTGGGGGGAATGAAAACTGCTGCACACACTTTGGGAAATAGTTTGGCAGTTCCTCAAAAAGTTAAATTTAAAATTACCATATGATGGAGCAAGTGCTCTCGCACATACCTAAGTATGTATCAAAGAGAAACAAAAACAGTCAGAAAAGACCACATATTACATTATCACACCTATATGAAATGTGCAGAATAGGCAAGTTTACAAAGATAGATCAGTAGTTGCTTGGGGCTAAAGCAAGGGCATTTCAGGGACAGATTGGGATTGAATGGTAATGGATATGAATTTATTTTGAAAGGGAAGAAAATGTTCTAAAATTAGATTGTGGTGATAACTGCATTATCCTGTGGCTATACAAAACATTGTACATTTCAAATAGGTGGGTTGTATGGTATGTGAATTATACTTCAATAAACCTCTTTTTTTAAAAAAAGTCTGCCAGTGCTCGCTTCGGCAGCACATATACTAAAAAAAGTCTGCCAATCCCTACCTATATGTTGATGAGATCCAAATTTTTATCTCTAATATATCTATATCCCTAGTCCTAAACTCCCTTATGAGCTACAGATTTGCATATCCAACTGCTCATACCATAAAGCCACCGAGAGCTCTAACAGTTACCTCAAACTTAAATGTCTAAAATCATACTTTTGATTTTCCACTCAATCCTGCTCCCTGCCTTCATCCTATGTAAATGAAGCAATACTACTCATATGGTCGCTCAGGCAAAACACCTAAGGTCATCCATATTCCTCACAGCCCCATCCAATCTAACACCAAGCCCTAAAACATCAATGTACAAAATAATACCAATATCTAACTACTTCCCACTACCTTAACTGCTCCTACGATGGTCCACTTTTCTGTCTTGTCTCCCATGGAGCTCTAAAATATCCTAACTGGAGGACCCTGCTTCTAATCTATTCTCTTAGAGCAGCCAATGGATCTTATTCTCCCACTCAACATCTGCCCAGCACTCATGGACTAAAATCCAATTTTTTCACCATGACTCATTATATCCTACACGATCTGGTCCCTGCCTATATTTCTGACTTCCTGTGTAACATTTTCTCCCTTGCTTACTCCATCCCAGGCACTCTTCCAGCTATTCCATGATCTTGCCAACTTATTCTATTTTTTGTTTGTTTGTTTTTTTAAGATTTTATTTATTTGACAGAGACACAGCGAGAGAGGGAACACAAGCAGGGGGAGTGGGAGAGGGAGAAGCAGGCTCTCCGCAGAGCAGGGAGCCTGATGCGGGGCTCGATCCCAGGACCCTGGGATCATGACCCAAGCTGAAGGCAGACGCTTAATGACTGAGCCACCCAGGCACCCCTTGCCAACTTATTCTAATCTCAGAGCCTTTACTTGCTGATACCTCTGCATAAAATGCTCTTCCCCTAATTATTACGATGGTTAGCTCCCTCACATAACTCAGCTAAAATGTCCCTGTCTTGAAGCGAATTTGCTTAGTTAACATCCTTCACATCTCTGCCTTGACATCCCAAATCTGGGTTAGGTGCTAAGTACAGTCAGTCCTCCCATAATGCTTGTTTTGAAAACATGAATTGGTTCCAATGCAACTGCTATATTAAAAAATACTGGGTGAATGCAGAAAACTGCAACTAGCTGAACAAAGCTGCAGAGGAATCCACAAACCAGTCACCTCTCAAACATCTGTTACCCCAGACTACTGTGTGTTTTATGAGCCACACCATCTTCACCTTCTGTAACAACTTTTCCTCCAAATTTGGATAACCCTATTTCCACCACTACATAAAACTTCTGAGTGTGCCCCAACCACATTTTCCCATTAGCTCTGCTGCTTTTACTACATGATTTTGCAGGACACGGTGAATCTGAAGAACATACATGCTGTACTACAACAGCACTGGCTATAATTTCGCCATGTCCTACACTTACCCTACCACAGTCCTCAATCAAACATTATGTATTACCGATGTTAAGATTTTTTCTTTCCTCCTCTAAACCAGTGCTGTCCAAAACAACTTTGTGATGATGGGAATATTGATTTTGTGGTCTCCAGTATGGTAGCCACTGGGCACAAGCGGCTCTTGAGCACTTGAAAGGTGAATAATGCAACTAAGAAACTGAATTTTTAATCTGAATTAAATCTAAAAAGCCAGAGGCAACTAGTGGCTACCTGTTAGAGCGGTCCCTAAATCTATTCCAAAAATCAAGCCCAGCTCTTATTTTCTCACTTCAATTTTGTAAAGTAGTTGATTGAAGATAAGCAGGGATGAAGAAAATGTTGTAAAGACTGGATATCTAATGTTCTATCACATAAAACCTGTTTCTATAACGATAGCTGCCATTTACATTTACCATAGCTACATGCCAGGCATTGAGATAAGAATTTTATTAATAGTACTGTTATTATTTTATTTGATCTTCATAACAATGCTTTGAAGTTATTACTGTTAAATACACTTCACATGTAAGGAAGTGAGTGCCCATGAGGTTTTATGACTCACTTAGCATGCCCCCCATCTCCGCTACTGCATGGATCCCTTTACTCCTCCTTCTGCCTCTAACTTTGTCCTTGACACAATGCACCGGCTCACAAATTGGAATTAGAGTGGTCTTTCAAATAAACATTTCCGATCATTCTTCCCCATTCCTCCCAGGCCTACTCTCATCCACCTTTAATTTCCTTTAACTTGCCATTATAAAGTAGGGAGCCCAGAATCCTACCTGCTACCTTCTCTTCACAGCAGCCCTTTAGAATAGGTAGTTTAAAAATTATTGACCGACAGAATAAATTCTAGATCTTCGTTAGCTGGCCCCTACCCTTCCGGTCCTACTTCTTATGACTCCCTCCCTTCTTCCTTCAGGATTAATGCCACAGCTTTATGCTGTCTGCAATGACCACCACGTCTTTTTTTGTCAAATACTTATACCTTATTCACAAACCAGCCACAGATTCCTTTATTCATTCATCAAACAAATGGTGCCACCATGTGACAGGCCCAACTCAGGTTGCTGAGGGTCTATCAGTGAACAGTGCTATTTTAGAAAGTCAAGTCTTTTAGGAATGGCATTTTGATAAGCCTATTACAGCCACTCTTGTTGTTTATAACCCAACTCCTATTCAATTCCAACTTACCTACCAATATTCGAATTTTTAAATTTGATTAACTATAAACTTTAGATCCCAAACTGGCCATTTTAATATTTTCACTTTTCAAAAACAAAATAAAACTAACTCAAACATACCCCTTCTTCAGACAAACAAGCAAGACGATCTATGAGTTCCGGGTTAGCAGTCAGGCTCTTTACATATTCTTCACCTGAAAAAATAAGTTTTGTTCTTGATAAAGTGTTTTCTTTTTTTTTAAACCCGTATCTGTTGATGTGGTCACGTCAAAGCAGAAGTATTGGGTCAAGCATATCTATGAGTTTTTTGGGTTTTTTTTTTAAGATTTTGTTTGTTTGACAGAGAGAGAGAGAGAGAGCACAAGCAGGGGGAGGAGCAGGCAGAGGGAGAAGCAGGATCCCTGCTGAGCAAGAAGGCTGATGCGGGGCTCGATCCCAGGACTGTGAGAACATGACCTGAGCCAAAGCAGATGCTTAACTGTCTAGCCACCCAGGCATCCTTCTATGAGTTTTTATTGCTAAGCCAATTTCAATTAACAGCCACTGGGCACCACAACTTACTTGGCTGAGAAATGCTGAGAAATTTAAAAATGCAAACATCAGATGGCGTTATACAGGAATATGAAATATTAAATGTTCAAGTGAACATCTGACCAAGGGCCTAATGGCAGTTCCTATGTGCGAAAGCATATAAAAATTAACAGCTTTTACATTTAGACTTACAAGTGAAAGCTGGTATTCCTTCTTCTATGGCTTTTTCTTTGTTTTTTTTGTCATTTGTTATGAAGATGACTTGTAGATGATTTTCTGCTGACATTTTCTTCAAATGTTCATTGTACCATTTTGCTGCTACTCGAATGGCTCGATCATTCCTGTCATTAGCATTTTCTCCCTGTTCTTGTTCTACATAAGTTTCTCTAAATATAAAAAAAGTAATAAATAAAAATCAATAGAAATAAGAATATATAAAAAAGTCTTTGAACATAAATGCTTAATAACCACTAAACTATAATAAAACTTCACAGGTTTGATAATAAGATTTTATTTGAACTGCAGATTAATGGTAATTCCCAAAAGCTACAAATAGGATGATTAATGATATGATTCTATAGTTATTAAATACACAATACGTGTAAATCAGCAGTGGTAAACACTCAGTAAATGGCAGAACTTATCTAGAGACTGAAAGACCACATACAAATAATGACTGCATATTCCTTCATAGTCTATCCACTCTGAAGTCCTGAATATGTCAGCATACTTACTTCCTTAAATTGATTTTTCAAAGCCAAATTTAAGTAAAATTAACAAAATTCGGTACAAAAACTTTTAGCGCTTAAGGGATTCAACTTTAGAATCTTACACTTATTTATACTAATAGTTTTTGGAACAGCTTCATTCCTCACCATTAAATGCCTTTGCTAATGCTTTAAGCTTAACAGTGAGACACTATCATTAAATTTTGAATTGGTTTTAGCAGTGACTTGAGCAATACAATCTTGGATGAGATTTGCCCAAGTGTCCTTCAACGCCAGTATCGCTAAGCTCTATTCACTGCACTTAAGCAGAAAAATTGCTAACCTCTCATTAAAACTCTGATGATAATGCTCCACAAAAACTTGGTCTTTCTGCACTGAAAAACAAGTTTCTGTTTCTGAATTTCAAGAAGCTAGGAATAAGATGACAAGTGCTTTACCAATGATTTTTACAAGAATAATATTTAAATTTGGGCTATAGAAATGAGAATACTTAAAAAATTAAGTATTTTTAAATATGCATATTCCAATGAGATTTCATTACCAGAATTCTACTGTCTAATCCACTGGGGGTGATTTACTGCTCAGGAACATTTGACAATGTCTGGAGACATTTTGGGTTGTTACAACTCTGTGGATGGGGGAAGATGGGGTTGCTAAGGGCATGTAGTGAGTAGAAGAACAAGATGCTGCTAAACATCCTATGATGTATAAGACAGCCTGCCCACAACAAATTATTATTCATTCCAAAATGTCAATAGTACCAAAGTTGAGAAGCCCTAATTTAATATAATAAAGATATACTAGAACTCAACAGAGATAATTTATGTAACACGTGAAATAGCAATATATTTTCTAAGACCACACATTATGTTCAAAGGGTGTCAATCTGAAACACAACAAAGAATTCTATTTCTTAACCCTATCTTCTTCAATATGATCAGTTAAAAAATATTGTCTAGCTTTTAAAAGCCCATTAATAATAAATCTGCTTTGTATTTTTAAACCTCTTTCATAAACTCTTACATTTTATCAATTTATGTTGGTCATCAAATAATATGGTATTCCAGGAACCTAGGGAAATCTTTTTCCAAAATTTTATTGCTCAACTCATGCTGAAAGGAATTCAAAATGAAAACATTTTAGAAACAAAAGTACCCACAGTAGCCTAAGAGTCTGGAGACCTTGGTTCTAGGTTTGATCTAATCAATGCCTATGTACCTTAGGTACACTGAGGATTATGTCTGTAGAACTGTGTAACAACCAAATAATCCTCCCATAAGTACGAAACTTACCTTGCACCTTCTGACAATGTCACAATTACTGCCAGGAACCCTTTCCCAAATTTAGGTAATTCTCTGGTTTTCCGGTAATTACCATAATTTTCCCCCTACCTATGGTGCTCATTAGTGAAGGTGTAGAAATGCTTCTCCTGGTTATTAGTCACATCTCTGATTCGTTTATATACCGGAGCACTCCGATTTCTCACTTCTTGCAGAACTGTTTGTAGTACAATCACATTCCTGATGGCAGGGTCCTCAAGAACATCGATCTTAAAAAATAATAATAATAAGGAAAGAAAACTTAAATTTTCCTATGTTCACTGATAAATTGTTTCTGCCAAACAAAACCCTGTCCATTTAAAAAAAAAAAAGAACCAACACCTCGTATACATTAAACTAAGGAGCTATTTTGCTACAGAAAACCCTTCAGGTCTATTAGAGAAGAGTACATATAAACAGACTAATTACAAAACTTCGTAGAATTAAGTCCACTAATAATGAAATACGTTGGCCCACACAGTTTTCATTCGTAGGCACTTACAAGCTGCCTGGGAGTCGCAGGCTGGAGGCCACAGAAGCCCAGGTCCCCGGCCTCCAGACACTTAAAATCTAAGGCAGAAGAGACACCAGGAGTTAGAAAACTAATCTAAAATTCTTATGACTCCAAGAACTAAAAACAAAACAAAACAAAAACAAAGAAAGAAAAGAAACTTGGCCTGGAAGACAGGAGGCAAGGGTCCCGAGATGGGGGTTTGCCTCTCCCTAAGTACGTCCAAGACTCTCCTCCGTGGGCCTCAGTTTCCCTATTCTGTCACACCCCCTTCTCCCGGTAGTGCCAAGATGACCACGGACAGCCCCTCCACCGACGCACCTGGTGCAACAGCACGTTGGTGTCGGGAAGCAAGTAATGCGGCTGCGGGCACAGGCTGCTCGCAGGATCCACGGGCTGCGGCTCGAGGACCGGCCCCTCGTGTGCACCGTCGCACGCCGCGCACCCGGGCGCGCCGCAGCCGATGTCGTCCCGCAGGTAATGCTCGCGCACGATCTTCATCACGCCGCCCGCCCGCGTCTTTTTTAAGAAAGTCTTGGACTTGAGCATCTTGCTTGCAGTGCGGAATCCCGACCCTGACCGCGCTCTTCCGGTGAAAATACCAAGTAGAAGCCCTGCGGCACAGCTATACTTCACCCCGAAGTTCACCCTTTCCCGCTCCGAGGTATTAATAAATACCTCGCGCGGGAAAACGTCGAGGCTGACGTTTGTTGGCTCTCTGAGGGCTGCGAGTATTGGGCGAAAATGAGGAGGATGGGCGGAGCCCGGAGCTATTTCCATCCAGAACCGGGGCGGGGCTCGCCTCTGGACTACAGCTCCCAGCATGCACTGCTTCCTGCGTTGGGGGTGGATCCAGGCTGAGTTCCGGCGGCGAGGGCGTTTGCTCGCTGCCGCTTCCGCCGTCCTCCTACGGGCGCGGAAGTGGTTGTCTTGGTTACGGGTCCTAACGGTCCCCAATCTGAAATTGTTTGTTGAGGAGCTGCAACCTGAGCTTTTGTTTGGGGACGCTTTCAACTCCTTGGAGAAGCGACGGTGGTGGCTGGTCCAGCCTTAGACGTGGAGTAGTTGAAGCTTTCGAGGTAGCTCGCGGCTATCCCTTCCTTTCGCACGCAGGGCAGGGAATCCTACACTGCCGAGTTTGGCTTCTTCACTCCGCACATGTGGGCAGCCCCAGCCCCCGATCCTTTGTAATCCAGATGTTGCCTCTCTCTGATTTCACCTTTCTTTACCTTTTCCCTTTGAGAGGGATGCCGTTTCCCCTCCACACGCCTTTCTAATCATTTAGTTTGGAAAAGCTGGTATCTGCAATACCGTAAATAACTTATTATGTCATGTAGTATTAAAAGAAGAGAATTGCTAAAATTCTTGTGAAAGGGTAAGAAGTTCGATTTAGAATACTTGAGTTTATTTCTTCTACGTTCTTGTTTTCATTTTATCTGGAAGTCCATTGGAATATTTTTATTTCACTGTTTACCTTTTTAAAAAATCTTCAGTGATGCCTCATTGCCCGTAGAATAAATTTCGAACACATTTTGACATTCAAGGCTCTCGAAGTCTTGATTATTAAGGTTGTATGTGTGTATGTGTATGAGGGATAGGGCGAGTCCTACTCAAAATCACGAAGGCTTGGCCCCAGCGGGACTACAACTATCTTCTGCTATTGTGCATTTTCACCACCTCTGTACCAACCCTAATTCTTGCATGCTTTTTTCTTGTTGCTACTCTAAATCCTTCAAGATTCTAAGTAGACAAAACCTTCTTGTGATCAACTCAGAATTGATTTCTCTAATCTCGAACACGTGCTGCTTTTCGTTCCTGGATACTACTGACTAGGGCTTTTATCCTTTACCTCAAACAATTTCTTTGTTTCCCACAAGTAAGATTCCTGTCCCCAGGAACTGGGCTTTTTATTCATCAAGGGCAAATTCATAGTAGGATTTAATGAGCTTGATTTAATATGTTTGACTTGAGCAGTAATTTACTAATCTGTCCTAGATGAGGGGTCCTCCAGATTGTCTAATAACTACTTAAGCATTCACTAGTATCTCTTTAACATACTTATGCTTTCCATAGAGAATATTTGAATACATTTAATATTTTTAACCCACAGAACATTGAAATTGAATTGGAGAAGAAAACTGAGCCATAATAATAATAAAAAAAAAATGTCTCGAAAAATTGCCAGGGCATCAAAAAAAGTGAATATCTCTAGCTCTCTGGAATCTGAAGATATTAGTTTAGAAACAACAGTTCCTACGGATGATATTTCATCATCAGAAGAGCGAGATGGTAAAATCAAAATCACCCAGCAACTAATCGAACGTAAAGAACTACTTCATAATATTCAGTTACTGAAAATAGAGCTGTCCCAGAAAAATATGATGATAGACAACTTGAAAGTGGATTATCTTACGAAGGTAAGATTAGGTGTAATTTTTGTTACCTTTATGCTTTATTGTCTCCAAACTGCAGATAAATAAGAATTAAAATTATATATATGTAATCTGAACTTGAATGATACGCATTTATCATTTCAAAAAGAAAATTATATTTTCTTGCATAGTTGAAAAAAACTTTTTGGAAGGAGAGGAGGAGTGAATTATACTTCTGTGTATTAAATAAAAAGTCCTGAAAGAGGCGATGATTTGAAGTTGGGCAGGGATGAATTGCTTCTGTAGGCTCAGTTTTTAAAATCTAGCATGTGTGAGATATCTTTTTAGGTGTTTTTTTTCCAGCCAAGATGTGTTCTGCTTCATTGGGAATTAACCCTGATGTGACTAGTTTGATAGGGAGAATCAAGATCATAATTATATTATTGAGTCTGTATAGTCCTCTGCCCTGGAGATTCAGTTTCTTTGGTATCTCTGACAGTTATTCATATTCCTGGGTTTATGACACCTAATCATCATTGATCCTTGCCACGGCCACTTTTTATTTTGTATATTTATTCTTTTTATTCCCATAGCTCATTTCCCTTCTTCCCTCTATCAACTATTTTTTTTTAAGATTTTATTTATTTATTTGAGAGAGAGGGAGGAGAAAGAGAACACGAGCGGGGTTGGGATGCAGAGGGAGAGGGAGAAGCAAACTCTCCACTGAGCAGGGAGCCCAACACGGGGCTCAGTCCCAGGACCCGGGGATCAGGACCTGAGCCAAAGGCAGACACTTAACCAACTGAGTCACCCAGGCGCCCTTCTATTAACTATTTTAATTTTTTTTTTTTTACATTTGTTCTTGAAAATGGGTATTTTTCTTATTTTTTTCCTTTACATAAATGTAAATTGCATGTTTTGTTTTAGAGTTTATCTCTTTTATAGCTGTTTTTTTTTCCCCATCTCAGGGATGTTTTTGAAATCATTAATGTTACTGTATATGTCTTGTCTTCTGCTTCTAACTTCTATGTAATTCTCTGTGTGTGTGTGTGTGTGTGTGTGTGTGTCTACCAATCTATTCATCCATTACCGCAGAGGTAGGCACCTAGATTGCCTCCCAATTCTCTGCCACCACATGCAACATGGGCCTTCTGTAGGCATTTCTCTTTTGGACCTGTGTGGACATCTTCTTTGACATGTATACTCAGGAATAGAATTTCTGGCTCATAGGGTATATGCATACTTAATTAAACTGCGTGTACTGTCAAATTACTCTCCAGAATAGCTGCATACTCTACATTCCCATGGTTTTTGGTCCATGAGCACTAGGGTTGTTTTGCTTAGAGACCCCTTGGTAGTAAGATGTTTGCTGTCAGATATATGGAGAAATATTATACAGTAAAGGATTAGTCTTTCATAATTCATCAAATCCAAGGCAGCTTGATTGTAAAGTGGACCATTACTTGTATCACTGAGATTAAAAACTGCCGAGTTAAACTGTTATGTGCTATAGATTGTAAGATGCATTCCAGTTTCAGAGATGTAAAATGTGAAAAAGTGAGAGTCTGGGATCAGTGAAGGAACAGAATTCTTAGACATTTATTTTCCAGACCTTACCAGTATATTGAGCATTGGGGGTACAAGGATGAAGATATCATTTTCTAGCATTACTTTTTTATTAGTTTCAGAGGTAGAGTTTAGTGATTCATCAGTTGCATATAACACCCAGTGCTCATTACATCAAGTGCCCTCCTTAATGTCCATCACCCAGTTACCCCATTCCCCCACCTACCTCCCCGTCCAGCAACCCTTTAGTTTGTTTCCTATAGTTAAGAGTCTCTTATGGTTTGCCTCCCTCTCTGTTTTCACTTTATTTTATTTTTCCCTCCCTTCCACTGTAATCCTCTGTTTTGTTTCTTAAATTCCACATATGAGTGAAATCATATGATAATTGTCTTTCTTGGGTTGATTTATTTCACTTAGCATAATACCCTCTGGTTCCCTCCACGTCATTGCAAATGGCAAGATTTCATTTTTTGATGGCTGAGTAATATTCCATTGTGTGTGTGCCACATGTGGCATTATTAAAAATAAATTTCCCTTACTCGACTATAGATAATAACAGTCACAGGAAAAGTAGATTTCTGCTGACTATAAACCTTTCTTGCTATTAACATTTAAATGGCCTGATTTAAGTTACTTAGCTTCCTGTCATTGGAAGCATTGTATAGTCCTGAGTGGTCAAGTGTCATGATATATTTATAGGTATTTTTGCTGTGGAAAGAGGTTGAACTAGCTGTGCAGTGTTCTGGGGTTGAAGTTCAGTTGCGAGTACCAAAGGCTTAGAAAATGGTGGCTGCCTGTAACACAGGAGAAGGATTTTATTTCTCTTGTTTAACAGGAATCTGAAAGTAGGTAATTTAGTTTTGGGGTGGTTACTCCTTGATATTGTTAGGAACCCAGGCTCCTTTTAACCTGCACAGCTGTTTTAAGCATGTGCTTTTCATCTCAAAGTCACAGATGGCTGATCTACCTCCAGTATTGTATCCATGTTACAGGCAGTGGATGAGGAGAAGGATAATGGGAAAATGGGACACATGCCAAAAGACTCATTCCCTTTTATGTACTTCTATTTTTTTAAGATTTTATTTATTTATTTGAAGGAGAGAGAGAGTGCGCATGCTACCAGGGGGAGGGTCAGAGGGGGAAGTAGCAGGAGAGGGAGAGAGAATCTGAAGCAGACTACCGGCTAAGTGCAGAGCTCCACGCGGGGCTAGATCTCACTATTGTCAGATCAGGACCTGAGCTGAAACCAAGAGTCAGACACTTAACCAGCTGAGCCACCCAGAAGCCCAGGACTCATTCCCTTTTAAAGAGCTTTCCCAGAAGCTCAAGCCAGTGGCCTCAGTAAACTAGAACTATATAGCATGACCACCTTAGCTGCAAGGTGTGGAAAGCTGGGAAATGTAAATATTTAGCTGGGTACATTATTGTCACTAATAAAAATCAGAGTTACATTAGATAGAAGAGAAGACGGTGTTGGGAGACGAGTAGCAATTATTGTTCTAGTCATCACAGTCTTTTTATTTTTTATTATTATTATTTTTAAAGATTTTATTTATTTGACAGAGAAAGATACAGTGAAAGAGGGAACAGAAGCAGGGGGAGTGGGAGAGGGAGAAGCAGGCTTCCCGCTGAGCAGGGAGCCCAGTGCGGGACTCGATGCGGGGCTCGATCCCAGGACCCTGGGATCATGACCTGAGCTGAAGGCAGACGCTTAACGACTGAGCCA